AAGAAGGTCTTGAAGGCTATACCGAAAAAAGACTATTCCGACTGTTTCGAGGACTGGGAAAAGCGTTGGCATAAGTGCATTGTATCTGGGGGGGATTACTTTGAAGGGGATGAAATTGATTCGGATGAATAAATAAAGAATTTACATTTTATAAACAAATTTACCTTACTTTTTGTTTACAGTAGTATATAAAAGTCCAGTCAAAGAAGTCAGTAATAGTATTGAACTCAAAAAAATGGGTTTTTGTTGTTCTTTTGTTATACGAGATTAGGTGAGAGTAGATGATCAAAATAAAATAATGATTGTGCTATGAAATAACTGAGATTTTAGTATTTTTTTCTGAATACCACAACAATTAAAAGATAACAGCTTTTAATTTAAAGTAAAGATTCTTGAATTCATTCACTCGTAAGGTACAATAAGTGTTAGGCCTATTCTACAATAAATGTTGTAAGTTATTGTCGTAAAGAGATAAATCAATCATAATCTAATATTTTTCTCTAAATTTAACTGGAATTGATTAGTTTCTTACAACAACATTTACGACATCAACAGTATACTAGGCCTTAAGCTAGCTTCAAACTATGCTCAATTCATAACTCCTTACTTGTTGATTTGACAAAAATCGGATCTACTGATACTTTTGTACATAAATGATGAACAATAAATAAATATTCTCATGTTAAATATGCAAACTCATAAATTTCGAACAATATTTTGTAAATCGTGAATCATAAACCGCGTATATTATCATGATAAAAAAATAACCGGAATTTTTAATTTAAACATCGCGGGCTTATTGGTTTAAAATTCTGTTGTTTGTGTCACGTTGGCAGCACTGTTACAAACACCCATGCCAAGCTTCTGCTTATCAGCTGTTCATTTACCTTTATGACAGTGATTTCTTTACATCAAGTTTTAACGTCGCGGCGATTTTTACAATGGATTCAAAACTTGAACAACGTTCTTGCATTAAATTTTGCTATAAAAATGAAATTAAGTGTTTCGACACATTACAAATGTTACAAAAGTGTTATGGTGACGATACTCTATCGAAAACACAGGTGTACCAGTGGTATGAACGCTTTAAAAGTGGTCGTGAGGCTGTTGAGGACAATGCTCGTCCTGGGAGGCCATCGACATCGAAAACTGATAAAAACGTCGATGAAATCCGACAATTGTTGATCGAAAATCGCAAATTGACGATAACGGAGATAGCTGAGACCACCAACATATCATTTGGATCCGTACGCAAAGCTATCCGCAAAAAAAGACCTGCTTTGTGGGGCAACAACTCGTGAATTCTCCATGACGATAATGCGCCATCTCATAATGCGTTGATTATTTGTGAGTTTCTCGTCAAAAACAACACCAATACCATTCAACAACCGCCCAATTCACCTGATCTGGCACTATGTGACTTTTTCCTATTTGATTGACTCAAAAAACCACTACGAGGAACTCGTTTTGAGAGTGTGGAAGCAATAAAGCTAAAATCGCTGGAGGCACTAATGGCTATACCAAAAACCGATTTCCAGAAAAGCTTCGAGGAGTGGATCAAACGCTAGCACAAATGCATCGCAGCCGACGGGGACTACTTTGAAGGGGACAACTTGAATTTTGAAGAATAAACATGTACTTTTCTTTTTATGAATAAATTCCGGTATTTTTTGATCATGGTAGTAATCTGGAACTACCTTCAATATTAAATTATTAATTTTTACCTTCCAGGATCTCATCCGAAAGCAGAGTTGCATCTATTTCTACATCATCATTGTCTGTAAATAATAATTAATAAACGACGTATAATATAACATATAGTATTATTGTAACAGTAGTAGTATAAATATAATCATAAATATATGATATGTATAATTTGCGAATAAAACTTTATATAAACAACAATCAAAAGAAATATTGGAGAAAACATTATTACATATACATTTATTATTGAGACGTCCCAGTAAAAAATTTTCCATGTATAAATTTGTATGGACATATTTGGCATATAAATTTGCATAATTAGACATAATTATTTTAATTTATATATAAGTATATATGATGATATATCAAAAATTTTTTAAAAATATAGTTTTATATAATTTTTTTGTATCTAACATGATACTAGTAGAGTTATTTTGTAATTTGATATGAAATATCTCTGAAGCTATTCTCTTAAGAAAAGAAATTTTTCGTGTATAAAATTGTATAGACATATTTGGCATATAAATTTGCATAATTAGACATAATTATTTTAATTTGCGTAGAAGTATATATGAAAAATTTTCTACCGGGATTCTAAGACAAAGAAATAAATTATAATTATATTTACCTTCTAATAATATTTCAGAGTGATGCTGGGTAAACCGTGAAAACATACGTAAAAACTGTTGTAAAGAAATATCACCATTTGTAAGAGCATTTTGCCCTTGTATAATTTTTGCATTTTTATCTCTGTTAAATCGTGTGCGCAATCTTCTAATACTTATATTATTTTGTAAGCGTGAATAATCGATCTCTTGATTTCTTTTAATATCTGACAGATGTTCTGTAAACATGTTTAAAATTATAGACAATTAGTTATTATGAAATACCTATTACATAACCTATGATAAAAAATTAANCATTCATTATATATTACATTATATGTTACCACCTGTTAGAACAAAATATAGAACAAAACATATAGAAAATTGTATTATATTTATATGTAAAACATTTTTCACCAATATTTGAAACTTGTGAAAATGTCAAATGAAGTATATACGGTTAATGCTACATGTACGCGTAAATGTAATTATTCTTTAAATTTATTTAAACGTGTAAATTAATAAACGTAATACTTTTACCTGAAATTTCAATTCAATAATTTATCTCGGATGCTTGGTTTTCATCACAAGTAGATGAAATACCCAATTTACCTTGTTTTGACATTAAAAATCCGTGCAAGAAATTCTGGGTTCGCTTGGCCAAGATGATTTTACGCAATAAATCTTTAAATTTGATAGGGAGATAAATTGGATATTTCATCTATTTATGATTCAAATTAAGCATCCTAGATGAATTTTAAAATTAAAATTTCGGTTGAAATTATTACGTGTAGTACTTTACATGTAACAAAATTTAAAGACTTGTTATAAATTACGTATTAAGTTATGTATTAAGTTATGTATTAAGTTAATGTATTAAATGTTGCGTAATAAGCGGTATTGGTTAAATCCGGGGTTTGGTTACTGGGTTTAGTGTTACTTTACACGGGGGACTGGAATCCGGCGCGGATGTCCAGTCAGCAGTCGCAAAGCGATATGCGACCGCGTGCGTAAGGACGCACCGGTCGAAGGTCGCACGTGCAGCCAAAAAGATGCAATAGTTTGCATTGCGCTTTTCGAAGGCCGGATGTCGCCTGGTTTTCCTCGGCCAATCACAGAGTGATTGACTCGAGGATATAAGCCGGTGTCCGGGCGGAAACGACAGAATCGTCTAAGATAGTGTCGCGGCCGGAGGCTCTGCCCATCAGAGCATCGCTTGTAAGGACTTAAGTAATCGCGAGTGAGTGGAAGTGTACAAAAGCAGAATACGAAATAAATGAATTTATTAAAACGTAATAAGTGTTGTAAAATAATAATAATTCTTCTCGGCGTCCCTCCCACGCAGCATCCTCGACTTCACGCAAGGTAACAAAATTGGTGGCAGCAGTGGGATGCTGCATAGACACGCCGAGAAAATACTTCAGGAATCTGCGACAAAAAAAATAAAAATCTTGAGTATCAGGGAAAACAGTAACAACTGAGTTAATAAGCAACAGATGATTCTCACAAAGAAATAGGCAGTAAGTAACTGACCTATGCTAACTACTATCAGCGAAGGAAGGCGTAAGACGACACAATAAAAGAGAGGAGCACGCAAGAGAGGCACTCTCGAGTAACTGAGCGAGAGCAAGATACCTCCGACTCAGCGATAAGCCCGAGCGGTTGAAAAAAACGACAGCGCACAAACCAGGTGCCTGTAGAAAATAATAAAAAAAGCGACAGGAGTCGCGGAGAAGCAAAAGGATTGGTCTCAATGATCAGGACCTTGGTAGGATCCGGAACGTTGAATTTGGCTGAACGCAGCTAGCAAGAAACAAACAGAGCGGCAAGCGAGAAAGAGCGACCGACGAGGAGCGAACGACTGACAGAGAACGAGCAGCCGGAGAAGCAGCGCGGCGAGGGAGCAGCGCGTCAACGGCAGCAGAGGCGGTCAGCGACACCGATACGAACACGAGCGTAAGGCGAGATGCGGTTATTAATGTAAGTCAGGAAATTCTTTTTTTTTATGTGCGAAAACTGGGAAGTAGCGGACGAGTTAACACCGATTAACAGTAGTGAATTTCGGTTAGAATTGCCTAGTTTCAACGTACCGGGCGAGACGCGAAATAAATCGTGGCTACTCTCGGAACCGGCAAAGCGAACGTTACAACATTGAAAAGTTAGGGAAACACAGAGCGATCCGTGTCAGAATAGAGAACCTCGCAGTATCAAGAGGTCCGGTCGGGTTTGACGAAATTTGGCTCTTGAGTTTAGTAGCGGAAGCGGTAGCACGACTGAGAACGAATTACAAGAGAATATTACGGTAGACCGCGAGTTTACATTTGATGTAGACGAGCGTTTACTTCCTCAAGTAAACCCTGAACCTAGAAAACGTAAGCCTTACGTTAGTCGGACTCCGAGTGACGTGTCCGAACGCGGAGAATTTTCGTTAACCTCGTACGATAGTAGTGTGTTCGATTCGAAGGAAATACATACGATAATGGCTCACGCGCCTAACGACTCGTTGGACGAACAACTTGATAGAGTACATCAGACACAAGCTGACGTGGATAGAGAGATAGACCGAATGCGTAGTGAGTTAGGAGGTAGACAACCCCTCCAAGGTGCAGCGGGCTGAACAGACCCGCAGGCGAGGTCAAGGAGGCAAATAGAAACCCCGATGACTCCTTAAATACTTTGTTTATGCGCGAGTTGATGCAGGCCTTCCGAGAATTGCAAACGAAGGTGCGAGGTCTGAAGCGGCAAGTAGTGCGACGCCGTACTTCACAAGTGTACGAGGACGACGAACCGCTTAGACGTCGCACAAGGGCCGACGATGTAACGCGAGAACGCGATAGCGCGCTGGACGTAACATACGGACGGACGGCGGCGGACGTGAGAAATCAAACGGCGCACTTGAGTGATTACATGTTGTTGAAAGAGGCGCGCGCGATGATACCAGTATTCGACGGCAAAACGCAGACGCAGTTACGCGAATTTTTAAGTGCGTGTACTTACGCAATGAAAAATATTCCGGTAGACGAAAGAACGCTATTAGAAGCAATACTGTGCACCAAACTAAAGAGACAAACTTTGCTGGATTTTAAAACGCGAGATATTCACAGTTTCGAACAACTAAAAAATGAGTTGGAAGCAACGTACTCCGCTAAAAAAGATACGACAGAGCTACAAATTGAGTTCAGTTCTCTAAAGCAGAAAACGGAGGAGAACGCGCTAACGTTCGGACAACGCGTAAACCAACTTTCCATGGAGCTTTACGAATCCATGATCAAAGGAAAAGCGCGGATCAATGAACAAACAAGAATTATCTTGGAAACGATCAAGGAACGAGCCTTGCATCAATTCCAAATTGAGCTAAGGGATGACCTTAAATAAATAATAAGGTCACGCAATTACAATACGCTCCAAGAAGCACTAGCGGAAGCAAGTGCGGAAGAAAAGGCCGCGGGAACTACCAAAATCGAATACCGCCACAATTACGAAATATTAACAAAAACCATAATTGTTACAAATGAGGAAAAACAGGGCATTACGGGCAAGAGTGTCGCTCAAGCCGAAACAGTTTACCGAAACCCGAAGGGCGACGGATAAATGCTACGGAAAAATTTTGCAATTACTGCAAAAAGGCGGTGCACAGGAGAGATGAGTGCTGGTTGCTTAACGGAAAAAGTAAAAGCGAAAAGAAGCCGAGAGAAAAAAAGAAAAAGTTTGTTAAGCACGATAAAAGCAAAGTAAATACGTGCGAAAATCGTGATTCTTCAAGTAGTGATAAAGAATGCGACCACAGAAGAAAAAATAAGGCAATAGAAGCAGCAGAGCTTCATGTGACAGCAGTAGACACGAACCATGCAAGTCTAGACCTAGTGAGCGTACCGATTGTTGAAACGAAAAAGAGCACAGCCGAATTGTTATATGATATGGGTGTGACTATATCACTAATAAAAGTAAAATATTTGAAAGGGAAAACCCTGGTTGAAAAATTAAAAATGAAACTGACCGGAGTAACGGGGCACACCGCGCGCGTAATAGGAAAATTTAACGCAACAAAACAATTTCCCAATCAATTACCAGGAAATCCTAGGAAACGATTTTCGTAAAAAATATCACGCGATACCGTGTCATAAAAAGGGAGAAATAATAATTGGAAAAGATTCAATGGTCTTGTATCCATATCACGCGATAACGTTACCACCGCGGTGCGAAACAATAATACGGGCATTTACAAACGTGAATCACGTAGGTATCGTGCAAGCGAAAGAAGAACAGCCGAATCTTTATCGGGAGTTGCTTAGTGCAACCCGAGAACAATGTATGCCCCGTGAATGTGATAAACACCACGGAAAAAGAAGTAAAGATGCAAATGCCACATGTAACGCTAGACAAATTGCAGTTAGATATGCAAGAAGCGAAAGGACAGGTCGCCAAGGTAGAGATAAAAAAATCAGAAAGAGAGCGACAGGAAATAGTAAAAGCCTCATTGCGCATGCAACACTTAAATCAAGAAGAAAAAAAAAGTTTAAAAGAAATTTGCGAGGAATATAGCAACGTATTTCATCTCCAAGGAGAGACACTGACCTGCACCAACGCGGTATCGCATTACATACCGACGAAGACGGACTGCACCAATAAACGTACGACCATACAGACTATCNGACAAACACAAGCAAGAGGTAGATAAGCAAATAAATGAAATGTTAGAAATCGATCTAATTAGACATAGCACGAGTCAGTGGAACGCACCACTATTAGTGGTACCAAAAATATTAGACGCGTCCGGAGTACGAAAGTTACGCGTCGTAATCGATTTCCGAAAACTGAATGACGTCACCGTAGGAGACTCATTCCCACTTCCTAATATAACTGATATACTAGATCAGGTAGGAAATGCGAAATATTTTTCCACGTTGGATTTTGCCTCGGGGTATCATCAGATACCTATGGCCGAGGAAGATAAGCAAAAAACGGCGTTTTCTACGTCGTACGGGCATTTCAAATATAACCAAATGCCATTCGGTTTGAAAAATACACCCGCCACGTTCCAAATGTTAATGAACACAGTACTGGTAGGGATGCAAGGTGTTAAATGCTTCGTGTACTTAGACGATATTGTGATTTACGGGGCAAATTTAAAGGAACACAATAGCCGGTTAAAAGAAGTATTAAAACGATTAAGAAAAAATAAGTTAAAGTTACAACCCGATAAATGCGAATTTCTAAGAAAAGAAGTCACGTATTTGGA